GGGGGGGTCCAGTACGTACCGACCCGGTTGTCTGGGCTGATCCATTGGCCCCGCGAGTCTGGGCCACGGTGCTTGATCGCTTCAAGACTGGCGTCGAGCTCTCGGGAGAGCTTGTCTCTGTCAATTCCAGAGGGCTCGCCCTGGTGGACGATACAGCTGATTCCGCACATAATGATAGGGAGCTCGACTGTAACAATGCCGTATGTCAAAAGGTTACACGACCGACAAGACTGTGCCTTTGGACTGGACTGATAGGTGGTAAGACTGTTGACACTCAGCAGATGAGCTGATGTTTGGATTCGACCTGCAGTGACGTAGGTGTATCTGTTAGTGTATTTCGAAAACGGCTCCATGAGGAAGGCACACCTTTCGCTCATGTAATGTGACCACATTCCTGAACTGCGAATATATCGAACTTAACAGACAAGTATACCATTGTTTTGGCTCTAGAACCATATAACACTTATTATGTGCAATATACGTCATCCTTTTAGATGTCTTCTAATTAGCCATATTAATTTGTTTGGAGAAAGAGACGACCACTACGTAGAAATCAGAAAGAGATTTGCTGAAGTATTATCAAAGTAACATGACCCTAAGAAAGTTAGTTACATATATGCGTGAGCCCATAAATGAGCTGGAAGTAGCTGTTGATTCCAGAAAAGGCAGCATTGTGGAAAGCTGCAGTGGTCTCGAGGCGGAAGCTAGGGTAGCTGACGTCATGCAGGCAATGGTGGGGAAGGCGTGACTTCGCGCCAAGTGCGGCGCGCCTCAACGCGTCTCCGTGACACCTCCGCATCTCATCTGGACATTCCCATCACGCGACATGAACACCGATGGCTACCGTCACGCAAAAGCCGTCGCGGACTGCAGCCTCCCGGCGCCGTTGTCGTCCGGCCGTGAAGGAGGTGGACCGGATGGAGGGAGAGTATGAAGGCAGCAGCGACCTAGAGGTCACCAATGTCGTCCGCAAGGAGGTGGACGTCGATTCTTATATTCAAAGTAAGCATCTGCCAACATTCTACTCGAATGAGCTCCGTGCATGTAGCTCACGTTCCGGCAAAGACGTCGTCGAAGAGCCAGACGATACTTCCGAGACCGCCGACGAAACCGACTATGCTGAAGATGAGGAGCGGGAATCGGAGCCACGGAGGCACAGCCAGCCGCAAAAAGTCGAGTTCTCCGACGATGACGATGCGGAAGCCGCCTACAATGCGTTCAAGAACCGAAAAGCAGTGAAGAGGAAGCGTGCTGTGGCCATCACACGAAAGGCCAAGGCTGCGGCTGCGAGCAAGTCGAGCATGGTTGGGCGCCGCGTTCGTCCCCGCAAGTCAGGAGGAGATGAAGACAAGCCTGGTCTGTACAGGAATAGAACGTTTGAGGGCACCTACGATGAGGATGCGGATGAGCTGATGGACGAGGTTCTCCCTGACTATATTAAGAAGAGGAAAAGCAAATTCGAGGATGCACGGGAAAGGTTAGGTGAAGCTGGACTTCTGATACCTCCAGACTTTGATGAGGTCGATTTCTCCGACGATGAGAGGTTGGAAAATCTCCGCGAGAAGCCATCTTTCCCCGACCGACAGCCTCTCCGGAAGTACGAGGACATCGTCATGCCGACAACGGCAGGCGTGATACCTGCATCACATGCTCAATGGCTTCGCGACTATCAAATCAAAGGGGTCGAGTTCCTGCACGAGAAGTTCGTTTATCAGCGGGGTGGGGTACTCGGCGATGATATGGGCCTGGGCAAGACCATTCAGGTCATCGCCTTTCTCACTGCCGCTTTTGGCAAGACGGCGGACGAGCGCGATCAGAAGCGTATGCGTAAGATGCGCCAATACGACCGAGACTATCCAAGGGCTCTTATCATCTGCCCAGGTACTCTTCTGGCGAACTGGAAGTCTGAACTCAACGATTGGGGCTGGTGGCACGTTTACACCTACCATGGCTCGCTTGCCGATAAGGACGCAGCATTGCGAGCCGCTACCAAAGGGCGTGCCGAGATCGTGCTGACGACATACACCACATATCGGAATAACAGAAGCGAGATCAACACCGTTGACTGGGACTGCGTGATTGCGGACGAATGCCACATTATCAAGACTCGAACGTCCGAGATCACCCAGGCCATGAACGAAATCAATTCTCTTTGCAGGATAGGTTTGACTGGAACAGCAATTCAAAACAACTATTACGAGTTATGGACGCTCCTCAACTGGACGAATCCCGGCAAATTTGGCGCGCTCGCAACTTGGAAGCATTGCATCAGCGATCCTCTCAAGATGGGCCAAGCCCATGATGCTACATATCAACAGCTTGCCAAAGCCAGGAAAACGGCCCAGTCTTTAGTCAACAACCTGCTCCCCCAGTTTTTCCTCCGTCGGATGAAGTCGCTGATTGCCCGTGAGCTTCCAAAGAAGAGTGATAGAGTTGGTAAGTCAAAGCTCGGCCTGGAGCCAGAGACAGTCCTGACAGCTTTACAGTATTCTGCCCCCTTACGAAATCGCAATCCGAAGCATATGAGAGTTATGTTAATGGCGATCTTGTTGACTACATCCGGCAGTCTACAGATCCTTGCGACTGCGGCGAGCCTAACAAAAAGCGAGGCTGGTGCTGTCATACTGAAATTCCCGGTCACGGCAAATGGCAGAATCATGTGTTTCCTTCTATTGCAACGCTACAAAAGCTCTCCAATCATCTAGCGCTCATCATCCCAAGCAGTGCCGATTCACAAGAGAAACAGGCTCGTGACCTCGATGATTTACAGATCGCCATGCCGGATCAGTGGAAAGACCTTTACCGTCAGCGAGACAGCATCATGAACTTTGCAAAGCAGGAATACTGTGGCAAATGGAAAGTCTTGAAGAGACTGCTCCAGTTTTGGCATTCGAACGGCGACAAAGTCCTGGTCTTCAGCCATAGCGTACGGCTCTTGCAGATGCTGCGGATGCTCTTCGCAAGCACGACGACCTACAATGTCAGTTACCTCGATGGTGGAATGAAGTACGAGGACCGCCAACGAACCGTCAACGACTTCAATGCCGACCCCGGACAGTTCGTGTTTCTCATCAGCACAAGAGCGGGTGGTGTGGGGTTGAACATTGCTTCGGCAAACAAAGTGGTGGTGTTCGACCCTAATTGGAACCCTGCGTATGACCTGCAAGCCCAGGATCGAGCCTACAGGATCGGACAAACCCGCGACGTTGAGGTCTTCCGTTTGATCAGTGCAGGGACTATCGAAGAGATAGTCTACGCACGTCAGATTTACAAACAGCAGCAAGCAAACATCGCGTACAATGCTTCGAACGAGAGGCGTTACTTCCGCGGGGTGCAAGACCAAAAGGAACAGAAGGGAGAAATCTTCGGACTGGCAAACCTCTTCTCCTACCAAAGCGACAACATCGTGCTTCGAGACATTATCTACAAGACGAATGTCGCAGAATCCAAGGCCGGTGTCACGGTAGTCGGCATGGACGAATACAGTCAAGACGATGACGACGATCCTCTGTCAGATTGCGACCGCGAAGACGCCGTAATGAGCCAAATATCGGACATGATCAAGAGCGGAAGCATCCATGAACTGACGAAGGATCTAAAATCCTCCCCGAAAAAGACGGATGCTGTCCAAGCGATCCTTGCAGGAGCTGGCGTGCAGTACATGCACGAAAACTCAGAGGTCATTGGCACTTCGAGAGTGGAAGCCCACCTCAGCAGAAGGGCGGCGGAGAACGAGAACGATGTTGACTACATCGACAAGCACGTCTTTGCGCCGAGTCAGGGTCAAAGCCAAGTGGTCGGGGATGAGATCGACCTCGACGGGGCCGCCAGCGATGAAGAGGCGCAGACGATCAGATACAAATACAGGCCCAGCGAAGAGGTGCGGATGCGTCAGCTCTGCACGATGGCAAAAGTGTTTGAGTTCGATGATGTCACGGAGTTTGCACTGGTGGTCGAGAGCTGGACGCAGGAGCAGAGGAGGAACTGCCTAGACAGTTTCTACCGTCTCAGGAGAAGGCAGCTCGGCTCGGGTGGGGAGGAAAAGGGGGGGAGGTGAGGGCGAGGTGTCCTTTTTCAGCGGTTGACACCCCTCGGCGACAGAATTTTGAGGTTGCAACAGGGCAGCTGGAGAACCGCGGCTGCGCTGGCCGCGATCTGCGGAAGCGAACGGCAGCCCCGAGCGCCCCAGTGGCGTTGGTTGCGGCGGAAGTTTCAGACGAAGACCAGCCAAAAGCTGCTGTTTGGACGTTTCCCGTCTGCGCCCACGCGGGAAAACAAGACGGGCTCGGCGCGGGGCTCAATCGGATGGCGGAAGGCGAATGCATCCGGAGAGGCAGAGCACATAGACGTATATTTGTACGCCCGGTGACGCAGATCATCCCCTATCCTGCTGATTCGTATCATGGGGCTCGGGCGGGCCGAGGGCGCTGCCGTGCAAATGGGCGGCGAAAAGCTGGAGGCTTACGTAGGGCGGCGGTCAGCCGCAGTAAGGTCGCGAAGAAGGGTCTGCTGACGGGGGCGGCTGCAGGGCGCGACTGGCCGGCTACAGGCGTGCGGCGCGAGGGGTGACAGCGCAGGACGGGACACTTAGGCAGCAGATTTCTTTGTTCGTTGGTGCTGGTTGGGTGTGGGTTGTTCACAAGCAATAAACATGGGCACTGGGCCAAAAAATACCCCGCCGGCTGCCGCTAACGAGCCCACTTGCGCCCACCCGCGTCATCCTCTACACTTGAAAGTCCTTCGTGGGCCCGCCCTGATGCCTGTCGCACAGCCTCTCGCACCCTAAACCTCCACACTCCCGCCGACGACCCTTCAATCCCCCACGAACCTCGCCACCATGGTGCTCGGTCACGGCCACCGCCGCCACTCCCTGTCGAGCAGCCGCTCATCCACCGACGACTTCCGCGACAACTCCACCGTCACCGGCGAAGACGAGACCATCGTCGACTCGGAGCAGAGCAATGGTACGTCGCGCCGTCTCTGAGAATCCCAGGCCTCAGCCGGCCATAGACTGATGGGGCCGCCTTCTGCAGTTCTCACCCACATCATCTCGCAGCTGCGGCCTGGCGCGGACCTCAGCCGGATCACCCTCCCAACATTCATTCTAGAGCCGCGGTCGATGTTAGAACGGATAACAAAGTGCGTCCATGGTTCCCTGCCTCTCCAAGGCGCTCGTGAAGGAGAAGAGGAGCTGACTTGGCCGCCCTGCGCAGCTTCATGGCCCATCCGGAGACCCTGCTCCCCATGCCGGACATCGAGGACCCAACAGAGAGATTTTTATCCGTGGTGAAGTTCTATCTCAGCGGATGGCACATCAAACCGCCGTATGTATGCTCTGCGCAACAAAGAAAATCGTTCGGCGCCCTTGATGCTAATCCCTAGACAGCGGTGTCAAGAAGCCCCTCAATCCGATCCTCGGCGAGACTTTCACCTGTTACTGGGATTATCCGGACAACACTAGAGGCTACTACATCTCCGAGCAGACCTCGCATCATCCCCCGAAGTCCAGCTATTTCTTCATGGCTCCCGAGCACCACATCCGCATCGACGGCGCCCTCAAGCCCCGCAGTAAATTCCTGGGCAACTCGGCGGCGAGCATGATGGAGGGTCTGGCCGTGATGACTTTCCTCAACCACAACGAGAGATAGTATGTATTGCTATGGCATGGCTGGGCTGGGATGCCTTCGCTAACCGGAGGTGTAGCTTCATCACGCAGCCCAACATGTACGCACGAGGAATCCTGTTCGGGAAGATGAAATACGAACTCGGCGACCACAGCTATGTGCGGTGCCCGGAACTTGGCTTGGAGGCCGATCTCGAATTCAAGACCAAGGGCTGGGTCGGGGGCACCTACAACGCCATCGGCGGATACATCAAAGATTCCAAGACGCAAAAGAACCTTTTTGAGCTTTCTGGGCTGTGGACCGGCGAGATGTGGGCCAAGAACCTTACGGTAGGTGGGAAATTGGCGGCGGAGGCTCCGCCCGCGCCAAAGAGTCGTGCTCTCCGCTAACGGCGTGTTCCAGACCGGAAAGAAGCAACTGCTGTTCGACGCGACGCACGCGAGGGAGACAGCGCCATCAGTCCGCCCTCTCAAGGAGCAAGAAGACCGTGAATCACAGAAGCTATGGCAGAAGGTTACTACGGCTATCAAGCAGAGGGATCAGATCGTAGCCACAGATGAAAAATCAAAGATTGAAGACATGCAGCGCGAAGAAGCAGCGAAGCGCGTGGACGACGGCGTCGAATGGCACCCTCGGTTATTCAGGCCGGTGCAGGGCGGGCCGGGAGGCTCGGAAGAGGGCATGGAGGATCTGGATTTCATCATTCGCACCAAGGTGTAAGTGGAGCGTGGTTCCCGCAGTCAGCCGACCGCCTCACCGGAAGGCTTCGGGGTCGGACGGAGATAAATGCTAATTCGCCGTGTTGCGTCGCAGCGACGGTGCTACGCCGGAGGAGCAGACGAAGCAGATTCTCAACATCGCCGCGATACTTCCTGGGCAGACGGTAGAGCGTAGGTTCTCGATACCTGGACGGAAGACCGAGTCCCAGCACCAGAACCAGACAGAAGACCTGATCGACTTTGGCCAGCATGACGCGTCGACGGCGAAGACCGGGCCCGGATCCCTCGAGCGCAAAGATTCCGACACGAACTCGGTCGATGAGTTTGTGGACGCCGAGTCGTGAGCGGGCACCTTCGACGATACATGCGCGGTCGTGGTTCGCAAAGATTCCCTTTTCCGGGCCTTTCAGGTAGACCTATCTCGGCCGCAGTGGGGTGGTGGGATGTTTGGTGGGCTGAAGGATCCAGCGAGACACAGGTATACTTATTTAACTTTGGTTTCCTATCTGTCTATTCGCCTGTTTTATACCGACAAGAATCGATTGACCCTCAACGGTTCAATTTCAAGGGAATTTTTTGTTTCGTTACTTCCGCGAGTCGAAGAGCGTGCGCGGAAGGGATGATATGCATGTTTTGACAGCGGTTTTTTGCAAAAGGGGGGTGCTAAAAGAAAGGCGTAATTGATTCGTCGAATTGTCTTTCGCGTTTAACGTTTGTCTATCCGTCTTGTTTTCCATGGCCGAATCTGATCTTTCTATACGCTCTATATGTCCGTTTCCCTTCTCAATCCCTCTAATAGCCCAAGTCTCGGACCCCGTCTCCGAGAATACCGGAACCAGCAACAACATCCATCTCCTCTCAAGCCAAATACACGTATATACCTTAAACCTGCAAACATAGCGGGCCAGAGAAGACCCGAGCCCTCTCACGCGGACTCAGCAAGCGTCCCGACGCAGATGTCCTTCCCTCCCCTTTTCCCCTAATGCTTGTGATGACCCTTCTCGTCCTGCACGGGCAGCGCCATGCCCAGCAGGAAGGCCGGCTCGTCGACGCTGTGGTGCTGGTAGCTCAGCACGCCGACGCCGCCGGGCTCGAGCATCATGCTCAGCGGGAACTCCATGGGATACTGCAGCCAGCGCTTGGTGAAGGCGCGCAGCAAGTGGCCGTGGGCGACGAGCACGACGTCGGCAGGCGTCTCGCCGCCGCGCATGCACGGCGCCTGCAGCGCGCGGATCTCGGCGATCAGCGCGTCCAGCCGCGCCGTCACCTCGGCCGCGCTCTCGCCGCCCTCGCACCCGTCGCGCCAAATGTCCCACGGGCGGCCGGCGTCGGCATCGAGCCCCTTCGCCGCGCGCCGCGCCCGGATCTCCGCCGTGAGCAGCCCTTCGTACTCGCCGTAGTCCCACTCGGCGAGCGCGGCCGTCGTCGTGACGCGCGCCGCCGCGTGCAGGTCCGCCTGCGAGTGCGCGGGGAAGAGCAGCTCGAAGGTGCGCTGCGCCCGCGTGCGCGGCGACACGTAGACGCGCGCGAGCCTCGCGGGGTCGATCAGCTTGCCCGCGCCGACGAGCGCGCGCCCGCTGCCCAGCACTTGCTGCTCGCCCTTGGGCGTGAGCGGGAGGTCGGTGACGCCCGTGTAGCGGCCGTTGATGGTCCATTCGGTTTCGCCTGTGGGGGTTTCGCGCGCCGGAGCGGTGGTGTGAGTACGAGTGTGAGGGGGAGGGTGAGGGGGAGGTGGTTGGGGGGTGTGGGATTCTTTTTCTCCTCCCTTCTTGCTTGTTTGTGTACATGATGTGATGTGATGTGGTGCGCGAGGGTTTCGTTCAATCAGGCGTTGCGTCTGCTGGGGGGGGCGGGAGGGAGGGAGGGAGGGAGGGGAGATGTGTAGATGTCATGGTTCTGGCTCTGCGGTGGTTCCATGTTTGCAGATGCTACGGGCGGTGCTTGGTATGTCGAAGGGCGTTGAATGTGGGAGTGGTTGCGGTGGTGCTTGCGTCGTCGGGCGGGGGGCGGAGAAGAGCGGAAAAACGGAACGTACCATGGCGGGCGAGGTAGACGCGCGGAGTTCCTGCGTCCTTGTCCGACATTGTTTTTGCGAGTTTCCGACGGGCTGGTTGTTGGGACAATCGGATCTCCGTGTTCGATGGGACGGAGAAAACTACTGCACGGGAGAGGTGATGATGTGAGGGCGGGCTTGTTAGGGCTGCTGCTGCCCGCTGCCCCACCGAACGGACCGCTGCAGAAACGAGTCAAGAGTCGGCCACTCTGTCAGGCACGATTGACAGCCTGGCCCACGTCAGCGGCTTCATGGCCCGGCGCGCCGTCCCCGCATTCTGGGCACATCACAGCGCTCGCCACTGATTCACGTCGCCATGTTTGTTGCCACTGCAGCTCTGGAGCCAAAACTTCATTATCTGCAAACTAGAGCTATATGGGATATCTGCGAAATCAAGAGAAAGAGCGCAACACGGCCCGGTCGGCAAGCTGCTTCCGCGCCTCCTCGGCCAACCGTCGTGGGGCGCGTACAGCGAAGCGCGCCTCGTCGCCGCCGTCCGTCCACGTGTCGTAGATCTCGTCCCGGTAAGTGTCGGAGCGCGTGACGGGCACCTTGCCGGCTAGAATGCGCTCGAACAGGTCGCGGACAGCGTCCAGCATCTCCTCGGCCTCGGCACGCACGGTACAGTGGCCGCAGCACAGCTTGACGCGGCGATGGACGCCGCAGAAGTCGTGGTTGTAGTAGTTGAGCGAGTCGGCCAGCATGTACTCGTTCTCGCGGCGCACGAAGCGCAGCATCTTGCGCAGCGAGGCCATGAAGTCGGCCCAGTCGCCCTCCTTGGGGAAGACGATGGCCATGCCGTCGGGCCCGCGCTCGTAGAACGAGTCGCCGACGTAGAGATAGCGCTCGTCGTGGTCGTACCAGGCCAACTCGTCGGGCGTGTGGCCGGGCGTGTGCAGCACCGTCACGTCGACCTTCTGGCCGTCGTGCATCAGCGCCTCGCCGTCCCTGGCCCAGCGCGAGACGCGGTACTTGGGCGCCTTGAGCCCGTAGAAGCTGCACAGCGAGTGCTCGTCCAGGTGCTGGGTGACGAAGGACTCGCAATGGCTCGAGGCGACGACGGTGCATGCGGCCAGCGGCTTGGAGGCGGCGTCGGAGCCCCGCATGGTCCGGGCCAAGGCCAGCGACTCGGAGAGGGGAATGGTGGGGAACTGTTCGATGCCGCCGATGTGGTCGTAGTGGCAATGCGTCACCAGCACCATGTACTGGCGCTCCGGATGGCCATACTGATCGCGCGGATTCAGCGGGCGGGCGTCGTTGGCGGCGACGGGGAACTCCTCCAGGAAGGTGCGCAGCTTGGAGAGCTGCACGGTCGAGTCGCGCGGCGAGTTGCAGCCCGTATCGGACAGGATCAGGAGGGGCAGGCGCGGGTGCAGCTTGGCGTAGACGAAGGGATGCTCGTCGAAGCTGTCATCTTCCTGGATGAGAAAGGTGGTCCGGTTCAGACGGGAGGCAGCGAACGAGGTCGACGGCGCTGGGGACGGCTTGCTGGACATCAGTACAACAAGGGAAAAGAAAGGAGGGAGGCATGATGGTTTATGAGCACCCCGCGCTCGCCGTTATTTCTGCGGTGGTTTTATTTGACCGAGCTGCTCGTCTTGCTGAACAGATCAATGGTCCGCTTAGCGACCGCTGGGGGGAAGGCGGGACGAGGCGAGTTTGGGGGCCAAACGCCCCCCGAGCCCTCGAGCCCTCGAGCCCTCGTCGTGACAACCGCCTGCCGATCGCTCCGACTCTTGCTCCCTCCCACGCTCCTGTGCTCCCGACGACCTGGTCTCCCTCGCGCCCGCCAGACGCATGTGCGGCCGACATGCAACCGAGAGGTGGGCACTGGGTAGCTCACGCCTGCCCCAGCCTGCCTGTGTCTCGGAGCTCGCGTGCGTGTCCAGGTTTCCAGGTTTCCAGGGTCCAGGTGAAGATCTGATCAGTCCTCACTGACGCGATGGCCGTCGCGGCTGCGTCTTTATTCGGCTCGGCGAGACACAAGCTCCATATCTTTGACGTAAGCTCCCATCTCGTCGCTCATAAGCAAGGCTTGCTAATCCCCCAAGCCCGGCCCGCCACTCGGGATCTCGATGACTCGTATTGCGATCCTCGTCGCCATTGGCCTTGCCCGCCCTTGTTGCGCACGTCCGTGTCAGCTCAGCCTTACGCCTCGAGCATGCTAGGAACGACCACGCGCCTCTCGCTCCGGCCCTTCCTGCATGCCTCGCGCCTTGCTTCTGTTCCGAGCAAAGGATGACATCCCTCTTGGAGCCGCTCCCTTCCGCCAGGCCCCCATCATCCCGCTATCAGCGCCCCTGTCCCTCGCGGTCAAAGATCCTGCGTCTTCCGGTCGAGTAACACAGCCGCACGCGGTTTGAAAGGTCTCAGCCTCGTGCCCAGTTCCCCAATCTCGCAGCCAGCCCAGCGGTAGAACCGGCGTATTAGCGTCCTGGAACAAGACCACAGTTCTCGCCTTGCCCGATTTCGAACCTCGTCCCCACATTTTTACTGGGGAAAAGCAACAGGATCTTCATCGCTTAGCTCTTCCGAACGCCATGGCCATGGCCTTTTCAGCTGTGCAAACTGCTGCTCCCGGCATACGGACTCGACATGGTTGCCCGATCGTTTTCGGGCGGTCTTATTGCTTTTTCTGTCGTTCCGTCAGCCCACGCTCCAATGTGAACTTTGCGTCAGCACAGCTGCCATTAGGCGCGTACTTCTCTGGGCCGCTCAAGCGCCTGTTAAGTGTCTTATTGATCAACTTTGTCGTTGGGACGAAGAGAGTAGAAGAAAACTTTGACTCACAAAGTATCGCTGCATCCAGACACATCTGAGATGGTGAGCTCTTTTCTGCAACAGCGAGCCTCATCCTAAGTTCGTTCGTACTCATCAGCGTCAGCTCGTTGATTGTCTGACCGTACAGCCCCGCTCCAGGAATGCTCCACCGCCACTTAGTATTGGACCTGTGCCTTCTGGACAAGGGTTAAATCTATCTCAGTGGCCAGACGCATGTGAAGTCTCAAGAGGCACACGCAATAGGCTACAGCATCTCTCTGCCAGTGAAGCTCACTGGGACGCCTACAATGCCGTGTGACAGGAAATGCTTGTCAATGGCGCGGGTCATGTCAGCAAGGTGCAGCTGTTGAGATAATTCGTTTACCCAAGACCAGTATTTCTAGCGCTCAACGCTCCCTCTCCTGGATAATCGGGCGTCTCATCCAACTCTTTCTCCCGCAATCTTGCTCATCCTCACGCAATGGGCTTCTTCAAAAATTGCTGGGACCTGCTTCTGCATCTTCCATACTTCTCTCCCCTGGGCGGTGGCTTTGACCGGGATGGCTCACAGCTTCCGCTCTCCTCCGACCCCAGTGGCGGCGTAGTCATACGCCCACAAAATGCTTCACCTGGCTTCACCTGCTCGTACCCGAGCTTAGATGGCTGGGAGAGCTGCAATACCCCTAACGACAGAGGCTGTTGGCTGAGAGACACCAAAGCGAGACAGCCTTATTTCTCCCAGTACGACCTTCACACAGACTGTAGGTTTTGCCTTCCACCTCTCTGTGGTTGGCTTTTAAAATTAATTACTCGTAGACGAGACCATCTGGCCAAAGGGCGTGACCAGGGAGGTGGGTTCTGCATGACACGTACCTCTACGATGCTTGCTGATTGTAGCAGTACTGGATCAACCTCAAAGACCAAGTGGTGAGTTCCCGCGGATAGGGCCCCCTTATGCTACCTTTGACTCACGCGTGCAGCTCGTCCCCGATGGATATTCTAAGCCATATGGCAAAGTTGTCAATGATACATATCCCGGTCCCCTGATCGAGGCTTGCTGGGGTGATGAAGTTGTTGTCCACGTGACGAACTATCTCCAGACGAACGGCTCTACGTAAACGCGCCCACTTTTGGTGTGCTCTGGACCATGACTGACACCAGAACAGGATCCACTGGCATGGTGTAAGACAACAGTACAGCAACGAGATGGACGGAGTGAACGGTCGGTATCCTTCGACTTGGTTCACGTGGATAAAATATCTGATCTTGACCAGGAGTAACACAATGTCCCATTGCTTACGGCGAGACCTTCACCTATCGCTTCAGGGCACAACAGTATGGAACTTCGTGTAAGTAATCTCGTTGCATAATCACGGGCAAACGCTGACAGCCAAAGGGTACCATTCGCACTACTCGCTCCAATATCCCGACGGTGTAGCCGGGCCCCTTGTCTTCCACGGTCCTACGTCAGCCGATTGGGACGAAGAATGGGAAGTCCCCCTGATGATGACGGACTGGGTACACGACTCGGCCTTCGGTATCTTCTCCACCATGGAACTCCAGGGTAAGCCTCCAGTCGGCGATAGCATACTGCTGAATGGACATGGCCACTATGATTGCTCCTTATCCGACGATCAATCCCGATGTGCCCCGGGTTATGCATCTTACTACAACCGAACCTTCCAGAAGGGTAAAAGGTATCTGATACGGCTGATCAACTCCTCTGTCAACGCTGCGTTCATCTTCAGCATAGATGGACACAACATGACGGTTATATCTACGGACTTTGTACCCATTAAGCCCTATAACACGACTGCAGTTCTTGTCAATATAGGTATGCATGACTGTTCATGATAGATTCCTCGAGTTTGGTGAAACCACTAACATGGTGTAGGCCAGCGCTACAATATTATTGTCGAAGCAAATGCTGATCCAGGAGATTATTGGATCCGTACTGAGATCCCTGGAGGAGACGCAGGCTGCGGAAAGGTCACCGACAAGCACGGAAATGTCACGGGCATCCTTCGCTATGACGCCAGCAGCACTGCGTTACCTACTTCATCCCAAAACGTGTATGAGTCCGATTGTCACGACGAGCCGAAAGAGAGCCTGCGCCCGATTCTCCCCTGGATGGTTGACCCGCACCCGCAAAACGACGTGCATAATAATACATATGAAGTCGGAATTAGTGAGGTCCAATTCCACAACGCTTTCCGCTGGGATCTGACCGACACGCCCATGTGGCTTGATTTCTCAAACCCCACGATCCTGAATCTGGAGAACACAGATTGGAATCCGGAATACGCTGTCATAAACTGTTCGTGTCCCGTTCATCTTCCCGTCTATCCTTCTCCGCTTGCGGCCCAAGACAGTTTCTAACCAATTTTGAATGAATCAGACAACTACAATCGCGGCTTCGTCTATCTCGTCATCACGGGTAACCTGGAGCGTCTGGGTGCCAACAAGACCGAAGTCCCTGCTGGTCACCCGATCCACGTGCACGGGCACGACTTCGCCATACTGGCGCAAGAGAACCGCACGTATGATGAGATCCGCGACCCTCTCGAAACGTTCAACCTCAACAACCCTCCGCGCCGCGACGTCGTGTTCCTGCCGTCCAACGGCTTCGTGGCGCTGGCGTTCAAGCCGGACAACCCCGGTATCTGGCTGGTGCACTGCCACATCGCCTGGCATGCTAGTTCTGGTGAGCACCCACTCTCTTTTCATCTCCTCCTTGCTTTTACTCCGAGAGGGAGGCAATGATACTCCCTTTCTGTTCGAAAGTTGCTCTGAACTGATTCATTCTTTCCTTACGTGCAGGTCTCGCTTTGCAGATTTTGGAGAGGCAACCGGACATCCTCGACTCCATTGGGACTTTGGAAGCTACCAACAAGACATGTGATGGTTGGGACGCATATGTGAAGGCACATCCGATCGATCAGGATGATAGCGGTATTTGAGCCGGATGGTCCGCTTCGTTTCCTTTTCTCTCCCTTTTCCAAATCCCCTTTTCCCTTGATATTTGGTTGTGGAAGTGTACTCCGATGATCCTCTGAGGTGGTTCCTCCCCTAGAGCCCGACTCGTTCTCACCTCATTTCCTTAATGGCGCTTTCTCTGTCATTAGTGCAGTTCCCCCAGCTCTCCGAGTCTGACCTCATCACTCCTTCCCCTCCCCTGGATCAAATGCCCGAGACAACACACAAGAGATCAAGTCGTCATTTATACATACATAGTGTAGAAATTATGCACTAAAGAATACCTCCCGTTGCCACACATACGCAGCAAAGGATTCGTTTTTTTTTTCTTTCTTCCCCACCACTTTCCCGCCCTTCCCCGCCCCCTCCACATATCACACTGCCTCATCCCCCCC